TGGCCGTCCTAATGCCGCTGACACTGCTGATGACACCATATTGTCCCAGTTCCTCTGTTTACTGCACAACAACATCTGCTCCAACGAGCAATAGTGAGACTATTGATGATGGTTTGGTCCGGGCCAATCCAGTAGAAGAAGATCCAGAGGCTCGTGCTGATTTGATGCATGCCAACCCGGTCAATCTCGAGGAACAGGAACGACAACAGCAAAAGCCATGGCTGTAGGCTCCTGGTATTGATACTGGTTGTTGACTGTTGAGGGCTGGCTGTTGTGGGAGTGGCTGAATTTCAACTTGTGCAGCCTCTCGGAATGATCCTTCCATATTTTTGGCACCTATGGGGTATCTGTCTTCTGATAAATTTGTTTTGGCGAGATCAATGGCAGAAATTGTCGGATCGATGTTACTGGTAGTGGTTTCTTTGAATTGCATAGTAGCTTCTGGTTTGCTTTGTTTGGAAGGAAGGTCCTTCTGATCGTCCTGCTGCTGGTCAGATTTGTCTGCTGGTGCGGCCGGTGACTTTCTACTGCCGATGCCGACAGCAATAGTGACAGCTGGAGAAGCCTGGTCACGCATATCCATCTTGGCAGCCTTGAGCACAGCTGCCTCATTGCTTTGTAACTCTTCCTTGACCGCTGATTGGTTTAGGGATATGTCTCCAGATGACTCGTGCTGCTGGTATTGTTTACGAGAGGTCTGGTGCCTTTGTGTCTCCTCTGTTGTTGTAGTCGATATGGTAGGAGAACGGTTTGAGTTGTTGTTCAGTGACTTGAGCACCATATTGGAATGTGATTCCTCTTCTTCTACAACCGCATTCAGAGTTGGGTACATGTGATCTACAAACAGATCGGCATTCTGCAGCACATCCGTTACTGAAGAAACACAAGTCTCCGCATCTTCGCCGGGCTGCCGAAGCCTGTGGGAAACTTCTGTGGGAACATCTTGTCTTGGGACACCATACTGCTGCTCGTTTTCCAGAGCCCTGATCAGGGACGACTCGTCTTGAGATGTAGGAGTTGTCATGGTGGCAACTAAAGTGTAATACTGTAATATATTCTCCCTCGCCAATCGGCAATGCCACCATGGACTGCGGCCGGTCTCTTGGATGGAGATCGATGATTTGAGTCGAGTCGAGTCATTCGATCCTGTCGCCTGGAGAATGACCATGCAGACGCAGTGATAGCGTACATGCACACGCTTTAAAAAAAAAACAATTGCTACCAACCCCCTTAAAGACTATATGGTATCGGGAGGCCGAGTGTTTAGTCGTTCTATAGATAGCTTGCTCTAGCTAGTACACTTTTAGTCTAATGACAGGGGGATTTAGACTAGGGGAGTCCTATGACATAGCTATCCTACTATTAGTTAACTCGTACTTGTTTGTTTGCGTCCCATTTGCAATCTCGTCACTGGACTGGTCTCCGTCGTGAAGCGAATGGTCGGGTGTCATTCGAAGACCGCAGCAAGCAGTTGGCGAAGCCATCCACCATGATCCCAGTGGCGCCTTCGGTTTTTCGATTTGGAATCTCAATATATACCGAAAAGTGGGGAGGCATGAAAGTTGTTGTCCAGGTTTTTGAGCCCAACAAGGACAAAAGCAAAAAATTAATGGGACTAACTATAGCTAAGGAGCAGCAACGGCCTACCCCCGAGCCCCCGAGACATCACCTTCCAGATCGCTCCAAACCCCAATCTGATCATCACTCAAATGGCTGCCTTGCTGCCTCCAAGCGCGAAAGGTATGATATAGCAAACTTACAGATACTTGATTTCTTCCTTCCACATCTGAACGTTTCAGAGTCGAGTTCAGACTCTATTCCAGATATTCTGTCGCTGCCCAGCTCCCAACCGACAACAGCTCCGACAACTCTCTCTCTTCATAATTCCCCCCGCGCACTCTTGGACTCGACTCGACTCTAATACCAATACCGGCGGCAGCTGCCAGCTGTATACTGATGGCGGCTGGTACTGTCCAAGACTTCGTGTTAATTAAAAAGTTTACTGAATGTGTTCGGACATTTCTTTACTTTCTTAAAAACAAAATGGAAGGGTCAACTCAGCTCTTAAGTCCGAACACCATGACCAATCTCGGCATCTCGGAAAGAGCCAAATACCGTTTTCTCAAAACAGAAAACTGAGACACGGTATTGGACAACAACCTCACTTTTTGAATTTATTAATTTTGTCCAAGACTTGGGAAGGACCTTTAATGAAGGGCCAGCCATCTTAGAGCCCTACCAGGTGATCAAGACACAATTATACCTCACGCAATCATGCAGTGCTTGTACTGTACATGATACAGTATGCGTCCCCAATTCTTTGTGTGGCCATTGACACCATTGGCCGGTATCTTTGGCACTGACGTCTGCAAAGGAGTATCTTTTTCAATAGATTTGAGAGCTGGTGGTTCATTTTCCTTACACATGGATCCCCTAGCACACAAAACTGAAGTGGAGCCAAACGAAAAACGAGCAAAAAAAAACTATCTTCACCATGAGCAGCGACACCGATGCAAAGTTGAGCGACGAGGAAGCTCTCTTGCTGGTTGTGGCCCACCGTGCCGAAGAAGCTGCTCGGCAGCTTCGACCTCCAGCCAATTCCCAACCAGGAGAGGACGCAGAAAAAACGGGAGAAGCACAAGGAGGCGAGACAGACGAGGAAGAGGATAACTTGATGGATATTGTGGCCAAACGGGCGGACAATGCTCGTCAGGAAATTCTAATTGATGAATCAGAGAACCAGGACTCAGCATCAAAGGCCAATGAGGCTGCTGAAGATACCGTGGAAAAGACACTGGATGGCGAGACACCGGGTGACGAGAAAGTGGAGACAGAAGATGACTTGATGGATATTGTGGCCAAACGGGCGGACAATGCACGTCAGGAAATTATGATGCAAGAGGAGTTGAGTCAAGAGCAGAACCAGAAAGCGCCGGATCTCTCTTGCTCACAAACCAGTGGCACTGTCGAAGACATTTCCGAAGAGACATCCGAAGCAGAAAAAGGTCTGGGAGTACAACTAGTACAACAACAAGAAGCCCCAGAGGCGCCACAGATGGAGGTCGATGTACCGTTCACCAATCCTGTCCGCCGTCAACAAGCCAGGACACCAGCCTCCCGGCCCGGAGCCTACGCCCTTGGACCCAATCGGCCACCAACGCAGGATCTGGAACCGCCAATGCTGGTAGAAGATAGTAGTGCCAGCAACAGTACCCTGTCAAATATTAATGATGGACTTGTGGAAGCAAGAATGATTCTCAAGATTTGGAAGCCGCAACTCCAGTGAACATGAGTACACTTGAGACAAGGAATCAGAACAACCAGAAAGAGCGGAGAAACAACTTTATCGTCTTGATCCTTCTAGTCTTCTTGGCTGTGGCAATTGCTGTTGGATTTTCTGTTGGAGCGGCAAAGAATAATTCATCAGACGCTCCCACAATGTCACCCACACTCGAACCATCCACATCTCCCTCCCCGGCCCCAGAATCACTCCCAGCATATACGCAGGAGAGCCTTCAGAACTATAGCACGCCCCAGTGGCAGGCCTTTCAATGGCTCACCAACCATGAAAAGTTTGCAGACTTTGAAGACTGAAAAGGAAGCAGCTCTTTGCTCTGGCGACCATTTTCCATGCCCTCCAGGGTCCTTCCTGGACCAAAGGCATGAGCGACACATGGTTGGATGAATCCACCGATGAATGTTACTGGTTTTCCAGTGAATTTGGTTGGATTGTAGAAGTGGATAACTATGTGCATGTTGTTGGAAAGTACGTCGAACGTACCATCAATGGCATTGAGCCTTGCAACCAAAATGGGGAATACCAATCCTTGATGCTAGAAGGAAGCATGCACAAAGAGAAAGAATCATTGGGAGGCATCCACATGCCACCCGAAATCGAATTCTTGACATCTCTGCGTGTCTTGTCTGTGTTCTTCAATGCAAGTATCAGTGTGTCATCCTTGTTGCCATCGATAATTTTGGGAATGACCAATCTGAGAGCTCTAGAGTTCCCAAACTGGCGATTGGTAGGCAGTATCCCAAGTGAGCTGGGTTCGATGACGAACTTGAAGTCCTTGAATCTCCGCTCCAATAGACTGACGGGCACAATCCCCACGGAAATTCTAAATGGCACCCTGGAACGCCTTGACTTATCATACAACCGACTAACCGGATATCTCCCAACTGAGATTGGATTGGCCACCAAATTGACATCGCTCGGCTTGATCAGCAGCAAAATCAATGGTACTTTACCCAGCGAACTTGGACTCTTGACTGAGGCCACAATGCTGGAGCTTGATCAGAACCCGGCATTGGCAGGGTCGATCCCATCAGAGATCGGATTGCTTACAAATTTGGAACTGCTGCGACTCCTTCGCAATGCCATGACGGGAAGCATTCCTACAGAGTTTGGCTCTCTGAATCAAATGACAAGTCTCCTGGTTGGCAAGAATTCTCTAACCGGTCCCTTGCCCACCGAGCTCGGGGTTATGACAAACCTCAACGGGCTAGACTTGGAACAGAATCATTTCACTGGGACTCTTCCAACAGAAATGGGATTGATGACAGCTTGGGAAACTCCATTTTCGAGGTTCTTATTGTATGGCAATGCTTTGACCGCGTCTGTTCCAACGGAACTTGGTCTCATGAACAACCTTACATCTATGAAGATTGACAACAATTTATTATCGGGACAGTTACTGAGTGAGCTGGGATCCTTCAGCAGACTCTCCAACCTGTATCTTTCACACAACAACTTCTCAGGGTCAGTTCCCTCTGAGTTTGGGCACTTTGCAAACCTAGCGAGGCTACAGTTGGAAGAAATGCCCCTTCTTAGTGGATTTCTTCCATCAGAGCTGTCTTTGGTGACAACATTGGGAGTTTTGAACATCAGTGGAAGTGGCATCGAGGGAATCATTCCACCTGGTCTGTGCCGACTACAGAATTCATCTTGTTTTTTTGGTGGTGACCCCTATCTAGCTTCGATCTTCCCTCACTTGTATGGTTGCCGTCTCAGTTTTGATTGCAATGAGCTTCTGTGTGGATGTGATTGCCCTTGCTTGGAAGAATAGGACGGCAGGGAAGCAGACTTGGAAACATCAAAGTTAGAATGGGATTGGTGTAGTTGGAGATGCTTTGGATTATGGAGATTGGAGCTAGGCTAGCCCTAGCTATACTTCCTACACTGGTGTCATGGACTGGCAGTGCATGGTTCCCGTCCGTTCGGCTTCGTGGAGTTTACATGTATGGAATGCACAGGTTTTATGTTAGTTTGAGTAAACCGTATTACATGATTAACTTTGCTCATCAACAGAGCCTAGTCTGGTACCGGTACCGGTATTCCACTGGCCACCTCTCGTTTTCCCGCGATGCATGTCGTTCGCTTTGTTCATCGCTGTGGTGCTGAGTGTCGCTCTCCGTATATCGGAACACCGGAACACCGGAACGCATGAAAAGACTCCCAGCAAGTCAACAGCCACAGCTGCAAAGTCCGTCGGACTTGCTGCGAGTCTGCGTCAAAGAATCATCCAAGCAATACCGCCTTCACCGAAACGAGCTTCGATTCACGGAAACGAAACGAGAACATCGTTCCCGATGGTGTCTACACGGTTTACAGGCTCGAGTGATACCCATAGTCGGGTTCCCCAAACAACTTGGTGCAAAAGGGGCAAGCAGCCCAAAAGTTCCACTTTTTGCTCGAGTTGAGCAGCCACGGCTCGTGGAACCCTCAACTACATCATAGGCTGCTGCCTTCGAGCATCCATCTGTCTGAAAGTTGTTGTGCAAGAGACAGACAACCGACGTCAAATGCCGAAAACGAACGGCCAAACACTATGCCGTTACGGCAAGGGCAAACTCCTTGTGGGTACGAGTAATCAGCCAGCAGGCTTTCCTCTGATGAGGTTTCAACGTGTTCCTGCGTCAAGCTACACCAATGGCAGCCAAGTGTGGTGCATCTACTAGTAGCTAGCTCGAAATTCGTGGCATCTGCGCGGTGTCCCAGAAGCTTGTCTTGTCCGGCTGACATCACGAGTGAACTAAGGGAAGTGCTCGTTCCAATAGCGAAGGAAAATGGGAATTAAAAGGAAGGTGCTCTTTTCTCAAGCATTAAGTACCAGAAACTAAGTTCAGCGCCTAATTAATTCCTATTTTGAAGAAGGCTGGTCCAAGGAAGGCTACAACTTCAACCAGTCACAGCAATTCTGACTGCGCCATCAGCAGAGGTGGCGGCCTTCCAAATTGATCAACAACAACAAGCTCTTTCATTATTGTGTCAATCAGCACAAAATTGAATTGATGCAGCGAGACTCACCTACTGTGCAGGTAAACCATCCAACACTACAGAAACATAATATAAATATGGCCACCAATCCCATGGAAGAGGATTCTCTCATCCGAGCACTGGAAGATGAGCAGCGGTTTGGTGTGGCTCCAGAAGCCCCTCAGATTCCAGTGGAGATTTTTCCACAACAACGGAATCATGGTGAGGATAATGAGACATGTGTGTCTTCCGTTACGGATGCCCTTCGGGATGCGGATCTATTTGTGGACCGTATGTATCCGACTCTTCAAGATGTTCCTGAAGAGGATGGACCACAGCCCATGGTACCAGTATTAGACGTTGCCACTGAAAGGACCCATCCTCGCAGGATTTCTAAGCCAAGCCTCGCCACCCAAACTAATGAGCAAGAGGTTGCCAGTTTTGTGGCAACCATTCCTGTGGAGGATGTCAAAGGAATTTATTCCGCTGAGATGGACAAACTTAATGATGAGGGAGAGAACTCCAAGGTGGAACAGGAACAACCAAAAGCAGCAGAAGAAATCATGCTAGGAGGAGAGGACTCAGAGGACAAGGAACACCAGCACCTCATGGAAATAGCTGCAGAAGTTAAAGAAGCTGCCAAAATGGAAAAATCTGCCAATGCAGCTACTGCTAACACAAGAACTGATACTGATGTTCCATTCAATACAGAAGAAGCTGTGCTTCTTGTGGGGGAACAACAAGAACAAGATGGTTGTGTGCCAGGAAACACAGTAGAGGCTGCCCCCGCAGGAGGAGAGACTGTCCCGCAACCTGCCTTGTACCGAACAACCCAGATGAATCCGCAATCTCAGCCAGGTGCGTTCCTGGGTGTACCAGGAAGACAGATGCAACGAAACCCCAACTTAGACTATGGCCTTCTTGGTGCTAATAATTTGGGCACTGCTAGTGGTCCAGATGCCACCGATACTACGGTCCCAAGACCAAATATCAGCGATGATCAGTTGGTCCAAGCAAATCCAGTAATGGAGGACCCAGAAGCTCATGCAGATATGATGCATGCCAATCTGGTTAACCCAGAGGATTCCGCACAAAGAGAACAAAGGTTGAAAAGGCAAAAGCAATCCCTATTGTTGTTTCTGGTCCTTATCGTCATTGCAGCTGCCATTATTGTTGGATCTGTTGCTGGCACGCAGAAAAACAAACAAGATGTGGTTGTTGTGATCCAGACACCTACTCCCACTGTACAGGTTTCCACGGAACCAACCGGAGTTCCATCCTCAGCCCCAACTGGAGCTTTGGACATCCTGTTGGACAATCTACCCGACTACACATTGGCTAGCATGAACAATGGCAGTGACACCCCTCAGTGGAAAGCATGGCAATGGCTAGCCTATCACCAAAATGTCACAATGTTGCCAGAGTGGAAAAAGGAGCAGCTGTTTGCAATGGCAACTTTCTTCTATGCTTTGGAAGGAGAGAATTGGCCTCATTATATTCAAGAGAAATGGATGGATGATACGGTGGATGAATGTGACTGGTTCTCCAGTGGATTTGGTCAGTTCTGGGGTGATCAATTCTTGCCCCATCCCTTCTTTTTGCGAGCACCATCCTGCAACGAACATGGCGAACTTGCTCATCTTGATCTCATTAGTCTAGACCTCGCCGGTTTGGCGCCCATCATACCTCCAGAAGTGGCTTTGTTGACATCCTTGTCCACAATTGACCTGAAAGGCTGTGGCCTCAAGACAAGACTTGCTGATTTGTTGCCTACAACACTTTACCAACTGGAGAAGTTGACAGATTTGATGCTCTTTGCCAATTTCTTGTCAGGTCCTGTACCAACAGACCTGGTAAGGCTTGAGAGCTTGCTGTATTTGGATTTGGATTCAAATCACCTCACTGGTTCACTGCCAACAGAGCTGGGATTGATGAAGAACTTGACCTATTTGACTCTTTCTAGAAACAAACTTTCGGGTACAGTTCCTAGTGAACTATTCCTCATGTCATCCCTTTTCCATCTTGAGCTTGGAGTGCATGGGTTATCGTCGAGGAACGATAATGTCTTCATTGGCAAGCTCCCAAGTGATGTTGGACGGCTGACGGAACTGCAAACGCTCCGTCTGTCAAAGAATCAATTAACGGGTTCCATTCCCAGTGAGCTTGCCATGGCAACTTCCCTGGAGTTTCTTTATTTGACTGACAATGCTTTCGGAGGATGGTTACCAACTGAGCTAGGAGTGATGACCTCACTGTCAAGCTTGGAACTTGGACACAACATGTTCTCAGGACCTCTCCCAGCAGCTTTGCACATGCCGCCTTTACTTTGGAAAGTACGGCTTGGTCACAATCGATTCTCCGGAAGCATTCCCTCCGAATATGGAAGCATTTTATCCTTGGAACATCTTTATTTGTCCGACTTACCATTGCTCGCCAACTCCAGTATTCCTTCAGAGCTCGGGATGCTATCATCTCTTTCTGTCCTTGCCCTTTCTAACGATCTTCTATCAAGCACAATTCCAGATGAGATTGGATTGTTGGATGTGACACAGCTCTACCTTGATAACAACACATTGACAGGAACTCTTCCAAGAGAACTGAATGCATCACTTGTGCTGAGACTAGATGGGAACCAGTTCACTGGGATTGTACCAGAGCACCTTTGTCCTGTGCTATGGTGTGATTGTTCTGCAAATGTCACCCTGGTGTCCAAGTGTAGTGATTTGGTGGAGGGATTGGATTGGCCTGGCAGATTTCCCTGGTGGAGTGCTGATGGATTAGCCGACACCATTATGCTCAACATCCAAACCAACAATTACCTAGCAGGGACAAATTGGGTTTGGCAGAAGGAATCAAATGTGACAGATTCGTGGGAAATACTCGAAGAATCAGGTGGTGGTGCCCACCACCTGAACTCTTACATGCTTCCTATCAACCCCAACACGATGTACAGGCTTGCCATTACAGTTGGCCAGGCTGGATGGATCACCCTGACTACAGCCAATCAAAGGGTCCTGTATTCCTTTATGGCGGATGAAAGCTCCTCGGATGTCGCAGTGGGTGTTGCAGTTGGTCCAGATGGTTACCCTTACATCACAAATGTTTGATCTTGTCTCAGTCCATGCCTTTACATTCGTAGTTGTTATTTTACACTAAACTAAATCTCATTACGCACGAAACTGAGTGAGAGTAAAAGGCTTGTGACAGGTCTCTCCTAGCTCCTAGCTAGCAACCTTTCGATCCAAACGAGCAGCACATAATGTAAGCATGGAAAGGGATAGTGGTTTTGGGAGCCAGATGCATGATCAACCTCCCACAAAAGGATATACCAGTCCAGTATACGTACGCTGTCCTACACCACGCAGATGACCAACTCCAATGAAACCAACCAAGTGGAAGGGTTGCGAGGATCGTTACTGCGAACAGAGGGTTCCTCTTTCATGACTGGTACCATGCAAAAAGTGCAAAAAGTGCTCAACTCGCTTTCTGCCGTGCCACACCGCAGCCTCCGTCACAGATCTCAATACGAGACATTGCTCGCTGGTCAACGAAGCGCATCTTTTGGGGATCGGTCTGATTCCAAGGGGGGGGTTGGCAAATGCTAATAGCAGGACCCCCTCTTGAGACTGTTTGTTCGAGCATGCATTGGGTAAGACCATACCGGCACCTGGAGCTTGCTGGTTGCGCTTCGATGCTTGGCATTTCGTCCTCAGGGCCATCTACGGTGTGACTCGACTCAACTCGAACTCAACTCGAGGTCCCCAGATTGAACGCTGCACGGGAAGACAGAAAACCGAGGCGGTGCCAAAGACATCAACTGCAGTGAAGGCTCACAACAAACAGACAAGTAGGATCAAATCGAAACAAAACGATTGTACGATACCCATTCCGCCAAGTTAAGCTACCATGACCCAATTGAGTCAGAGCCTGTCGCCGTCAATCCCTTTCGACGTTGAAGCAACACACCACCACGTGCTTGGAAGAGAAGATGGTGGCTACAATGAACGTCCAACGGACAACGGTCTACTAATCACGAGGAACGGCCGTCAAGGTTGTTTGTCGTTCCGCCCAAGATGCTCCTCCCAACGCTAGGTGCCATGGCGGCAGCCGCCCTCCAAAGTCGAACCAAAAGCGGACGTTCGGTGGATTCCTTTTCCGCCACAAGGGTCGTCGTGCCACGCAATCTGCATACCAATCCACCCATCGCTGCCGTTCCTATCACTACGGCCTCCCGATTTTCCCATTGACATTCGACCAATCTTGAACTTTTTCGGAGGCCCCCAACTCTGACAATTGGTGCCGCTTGTCCGACTATGCTGGTGATTACTCTGTCCTCGTTTGCTGTGGCGGCTGTCACACATTGCAAAACACGGGCTTTCGAATTTTAAATGTGGACAGGCGCGCTATTGCAACAACGACGACAGCGACGAGTCCTCCGTCAGAGTGTTTGGGACGGTTCAGAGGGGCGCCAATCTTGGGCTGTTTTGCTACTAGTACGAAACGGTCCAACCGGGAGGCCGTACCTACGAACAGTGTAACCAGGACATCCACGATTTCATTGCCGCCAATTAATCCAGAGTCCACCTTTATCTATCGAAGAAACTGGGTGACTCGACGGGTCCTCTACGCACCATCTCCCCTGTCGGCGGGGTCGCAAGACGTGGACTATGATCTCCTGTAACGAGGTAACACACTCCAACGGGTGTAACTTAAATTCTAGCTAGATACGAGCATGCAGTCAAACTCATAGTTCTTAGTCCAAAGCATGTGTTTATCCACTTTTTCTACTCATTGGACGTCTCATTGGAGCACAAGCAATCACATCCACAAAGCTGGTCAGTGCAATCAAAACCAAGAAAACAAGGCTTGGTGCCCCAAATGTAGGTACAAGAGGCATTCTGAAAGAAGCATAGTTCATCTGGCATTGTGCCGGACAGCCCAACGCTGCCAGAAATATTCAGCCATCCCAGGCTTGCCATGAGAACAAACTCTGATGGAACAAATCCAGTCAGCATCATCAAATCAGCCAAGTCAAGCTCTTGTAGTGACAATAGCTGCCCCAGCTCTGTAGGAATGCCACCCAGGAATTGGTTGCTTCCGAGTCTGAGATCAAGAAGGCCAGTCAGCAATCCAAGCTCGGAAAGAATGCCGCCAGAGATGTTGTTGCTCTCGAGCTTAAGCCATTCGAGAGCTGTCAGCTCTGCAGCTCATTTGGAAGCAGTCCTGATAGCATGTTGCCTTGAATCAAGACATGTCTGAGCATGGCCATCGTTCCAACCTCCTGGGCACCACCAGAAAGGAAGTTGTCAAACAATAGGATCGATTCGAGGGACGTCAGCAGTCCATATTCACTGGGTATTTCACCCGTAAACAGATTCTTCGACAGGCTCAGCTGTTGTAGTGAATTTAGTGATCCAATCTCACTTGGCAAACGCCTGTCAAATAGTTGCCAGCTGCATTAGACCCAAGGTTCAAATTTTCAAGAGAAGTAAGCAACCAAAGTTCACTGGGAAGAGTGCCAACAAGAGAGTTTGCTGATAGTTGCAGGCTTCTCATGAGAGTAAGTTGCCCAAGCTCACTTGGGATGGTCCCAGTGATGGCATTTGCTGACGCTGAAAATTCAGTCAACTGGTTAATCAAACCAAACTCAGTTGGCAGGGTACCCACCAAGCCATTCAGACTCAAATCCATATATGCCAAATATCTCAGCTGTGTCATCCGAGGAATCAAAAAGTCATTCAATGATGAATCCAAGTTGCCATTGACTCTTAGGACAATTCTGGACAAGAAAGTGAGCAGAGTGATCTCTGGGGGTATGGTTGGTGAAAATCCAGTGAGCTCGAGATTCAACAAATCGAGGCTCGTCAACTTTCCATGATCATTGCAGGGGTCAATAGACGGAATGCCCAAATCCTGACGTCGAAAATAGCGACCTTCAAAAAAGATTCCAAATCCACCAGAGTACCACAAACACTCATCCAAGTGTCATCCATCCAACGCGTCATTTATCAGAGGGTTCCAATTTTCTACCTCAAATGCATAGAAGAAAGTTGCCATGGCAAACAGCTGTGTCTTCCCTCCATTCTGGAAAAAGAGTATATTTTGTGATTGGCAGCCAATTGCCATGAGCTTGCCACTGGAGGGTGTCAACGTGAGCCATTGTTGATGCCTGGCCAAAGTAGTAGTCTGGGAGGAAAAATAAAGCCTCTAGTCGACTGCCGGTCTGGCGTTGCTGTTGCGCCCCACAAAGAGAAGCCATCCAGAACGGACTACGCACGTCGCACGA